TGGTTATATGTTTAAATTCCAATGTTGTGTAACATTGTCACTGCTGTGCTTAATAAGGTCATTCAAGGCTAACTAGTAAACAGATTGTTAAGGGTGGAAGTGTTGTACAGTATCATTCACTCTGAGATTTTCATGTTTTTAATATGTCACTGCTTCTGAGAATCCTAAGGTATATATTTAGTCATATTTTAAAATTTTTTAAAGAGGCGTTACAATAATTAATATGTAATGTTCTTCCATGTTTCTCGATACATTTGCAGCACTGTCATTTTGCTGCTTGGATTAATTATTTTAAATTGGGTTGTTTATTTAGAAGATTCTGGACTTTTTTATTTTTGCAAAGTTCTGGTGATAACTCTTGACATCTTCATTTAGTGTAAGTCCAAGTAAGAGAAGCTCACGGCAAATATTCCAGGGACCAGAGTGGATTTCTTGATTATTTATCACATAAATAATATTGAAATAATATTGTAAAATGTGGCTTGCAAGGTGAGAAATGCTAAAATACACACACAAATTATGCCTACACACCAAAAACATAGCAGTCAATTGACCTCCAGCAAGCTCAAGTGGCAAAAATGCTCACAGAGAAACCCTTTGTGCCACAGAACCTCCAATCAATGTGAGGTGTAAGTGAGGAAGGGATATAGAGGCATAGTTTTTAAAATACTATGAGGGTGGAAAAAGGTAGCAGAATTATGAAGAAGAAAGAGGATGAAAATTGTTTTGTTAATGGGTGAGAAATGTCAGAGACATAAGAAGAAAAGAAAAAGATGAGGTCAGGTGAGGAGAGTTGGGTATTGATGCAACAGTGGGTGGTGTGGCTCCTCTGTCAGTCTTGGCACATCGTTCATCTCATTACACTTTCACTCTCCAGCTCCAGCCTGCTCTTTGGTCCTCCCCCACGGCTAGCCCCGGAGCAGGGTTCTGTCCCGCCCAGCTCTCCTGTCAACACAAGCCCAACTCAGCAGCTCTGGCCCAGGCATCTGTCAGCCCACACAGTCCCCTGTCAGCCATAGCCTATTGGCCAGCTCATATTGACACTGCACACTGTGCCAGAAAAAGACTATAATATACCGTAGCAGAGCATCTATTGACAAAGCTCCCGGTGAGCCAGAAGCTGAAGCATCCATCACTGAAACGTTCTTCCAAAACTTTACACTGATCTCTGTGGGGACTGTTGCTCAACAGCTTTAAAATCAAATTAATTTGCAAAACATTTGGCTGAAATTAGGGAGCACTGACGTTTTTTACGTGACAATGGGAACTCTGGGGTTGTTTTGCAGATCACAGGGTGGACTTTGCAGATGGAAACACTCCATCTGTTTGCCAAAAAATCTGATGAGTCTTGTCAATCTAGATAACCTAAAATACTAAATTATACTAAAGCCTGAACTTCGGTAATAGGATGCATTTCCTTTTCTGTTCAACTGTGGCTTCCTGTTTCAATGAAATTGAGTTCCCTGGGAAAGATGAGTAGAATATGTTAGGAATGAAATAAACCAAAGACAGGTGCACTGTTCTTTGTTTTAGTCTTTGGCTTTAGCACAACCAAGGAAAGACCCACTTTGACAGCTTCTCTGCTGTAGAAGTGAGAGCTACAGGGAGACGGCTTTGACGAGTGATCGGATACTCTCCACCTCACGGGCAGCGGCTCATTAGCAAGAACAGAAAATAGTTACTACTGGGAGTGCTGTGCAGACTGAGCTGAGAGTAGCACGGACTCGGCATGAACAATTCTGCAAAAGAAGGAGAAAGCAAAGGCCAAGTCGAAGGAGAGACAGGGAAAACATCGATCAATGAATTGTACATTTGATTTTAGCAATGTGCTTTTCACCTCTGCTCTGGAAAACTGATGAGCAGAAAATAGTTGAGAAGAAACCTGTTGAAAGCAGCGACAATCCAGGATGTGAGGCAGCCTTGGTGAAAAAAAAACAATTACATCAATAGGATTTGTGGAGAAGTTGTGTTTTATAAAGGTAAAGATGAATAGAGCATAGAAACAAGAAAATGTTTTAGGAGGAACATTACACTGTAGTTTTCACAAAGTGAAATGGCTTTTAATCTGCTTTGACTTTGTTCTTTATTAGTATTTTTTGGCCCACATGAAGAGAAAGTAGAGTGTAGAGTTAAAAAAAAAAAAACATTTTTAGTTGGAATTAACTGTGCAAGTCGAGGATGATAGTTTCATTGATCCAACTGTTGAAGAAAGTTGCTGTGTTGTGCATATTTATTGGTAATCAAACGTAGTCAGATCAAATATAATCAGAATTGGATTTATTGACCAATATTGGGAATTTGTTTTCACATGCAGATAGTGTATAAACTAAAAGAACAGATAGAATATGATACAAAGAAAGAATGTTTTATGTAAAGATATTGTTGTCATAGAAACAAATAAAATAGTGACCTGTTAGATAACTTCTTTAAAAAAAAAGTCTGCAAGAAAGACATTCCCATGCAAGGACCTTTCTGCCAGAAAAATAGCACCATATGGACAAACACTCTCGTAGTAAATTATTTATCCGCTATCTGTCTCTTTTCTATCTTTGAAAAGCCACTGGTTGTAACACTATTGACATTCAGAACATAAAATTAAAACCGAAATTGAGAACTTATTGAAAAATTAATTAAAGATTTAAATTATTATTGCCAAAATGGCTTGTGTGAAAAATAGAAAAATAATATATCCTTTTCTCCAGTCAACAGAAGACAATCTCTGCAATTTTCCAAAAATAAAAACCAAACAAATTTAACTGAAGTTGTTCCTAAAGATGACGCTACAAGCCCCATCATGGACCCTGGATTTTTTTCTAGCGTGAATGTTAATTATCGTAAAAAACTGTAAGCTTTTAGGCACTCACTTTATATATGAGAAAGCAAGTTAAGAGAAAATAAAGCTAAATGCAACCATTCTATCACTCCAGAGAGTTTCCTGCTTTACTGAGAACACAAAAAAGCTTCTTAGTTTATCAGTGTCTGCCTTGAGGTTGTATAAGGGTTGTAGAGCATTAATTCTGTAAAAAGTAAGGGTTGTTGAACACTCAACAGCTTTACTTGTCTGCAGCCTTTTGTGTTTGTCAGACTGAAAAGGGTTTCACAAAAGGGAGGACACCTGCATACGCATGCATGTGTATACCCACATATGTTTGTAATGAGGTAGTCTCATTCAGAGAGGCTAACGTAAATAAACCCTGATCTTTTTCTTCTTCATTCTGCTCAGGGTTAGTCCCAACAGACCAACATCTATATAGCTGAAAAAAAAGCTGATTTTTTTTTCAGGATATATGGTGCTGATGATTTATATGAAACCTTATTTATATGCAAGGTTGCATCATTCATTAACAATTTTGAGTCAACGAGGCTCAAAACTTTAAATAAAACAAGGAAACTGAGTCATAAACTGATGCCCCAAGGCTTGAGATGGTTGAGTCAGACTCCATTATCTCCTCCAGACATTTCCTCTGGATTATGGATGGTTTGGGGGGAAAGGGTTCTTCCTCCAGCTCTGCATATAGGAAACTGTCTAAATCAGTTTAGCATGCTGCTCTTTTAATTAGACCCCTGAAGATTTTTGAAACTAAAATGGATAAGTGCTTCTGGATGAGGAAAGTGGGAGTTATATGTTAGACAGTCGATAACTACAGACAGCTATCACAGTTCCACATAAAGGGAAGGCACATCAGCAGGGATTCAAGCTGCAAGTAAAAGCCATCAAAGATCTGACATTCACCTCCCACTGGGTCACACACTGGGGTGTCTGAACTGTCACTTTTGAGCATCAATGGAGGTCAACTGCCTCAATGCTCTGCCTCACTAATCTAATCCCTCGTAGGCCAATCCAAAGTTGCGTGCTTAACTGAGGTTCGGAGAGTTGCATGAATTTACATATGAGGTACATCTATTGTCAGCTTGCATTACAGCTTATATCCATTCTCATTTACTCTGACATCCTCTTACATTTAAATTTATTCATTAGGACGATGCTCAGCTCATTTGCTTCATGTGTGAGATGTCTTAGTGTAAGCTTACCTGGCATAAAGCTCTACAATGACAGGAGAGTCTTTTTATGATCACAGAAAGAGGATTGCTGTTTAAGAGGATGTGTTTATCTCAAAGAGATGGTTTATAGGAGAAAGACAAGTCGAGAAGGACTGCAAAAAAGAGTACTTGCAAATTTTGATGTAGTATATTGGATTTTATGTGATAGACCAATGCAAAGTAGCCTGTAATTGAGACATGGTAGGAAACATGGAGAGGGTTTTAAAAAACAATATATGCATTTAGACCCACTGAATCAATGCCTTGTAGAACTATCTTTTGTCGGAGTATGTTTACCAGCTTCAGATATCGAGAGACCGAAATATTTTTCTTCTTTATAAAACACTGCAGCTCAAGGCTTTTCAAATATGGGGCAAGTACCCCCCACCGTCCCACTCTGGGTATTGCCACAGCTCTTCTGGGTGAAGGCAAGGGAGCAACATTAGAAAAAAATAAGAGGCCTTTTCAGTCATACTGACCACTTAAAGTTATTTGCAGTACAGTATGGTACAATTCTTTATACAGAGAGACTGCAGTCTCTCTATATATAGTGATGAGTGGAAAATATATAACATGTAAGTCATAAAAAAGTAAAAAATAAAAAAAAGGGTTAAAACACATTCACTCATTTGTGCTTACAAATGTGCCCATATTCGCACATCGATTTGCAGATTGGTCGTCAACTTGAGGTTGAGAGCTTTTCCCAGGAGCACGTTACCACTTGACAGGAGGAAGCTGGAATCAAACCTATAGCCTCCTGATTGCAAAACAACTATTCTGTCGCTGATCTCTTTTCAGTCACCTTCATTTATACCTCAAAAATCCCTTGTTTTCATTCATCACACATGTCATTTTTCTAATATGATTTCTCTTCTGGTTGTATTCATTAAAAGGTGAACTGGAGTGTTTTGTTTCTTCCCCCACCGCTTATGTGGATTTCTCTACTTTTGTGTTTGCAGGTGTTATGTTGATGACAAAGTCTCCAAGGTGGCCTGGCTCAATCGATCCAACATTATTTTTGCTGGTGAGGACAAATGGTCCCTGGACCCCAGAGTAGGCCTGGTGACTAAAGGCCAACTGGAGTACAGCCTACGCATACAAAAGGTAATCTTGACCGCTGCAGTAAAACATCTGAGCACATGTTAATAAGAAGAAAATATCTGCCATAAATAGTGTAACATTGAAAAATTTGTTTTTTAATAAATGCATGTTCTCCAGTCTTTTCCTTTTTGAAGGATGGGCTCTCTGTCATGCTATATCAATACCCCAGAGAAAAAGGAAGTTGTGGCTTTCTGATTAAATCTTCCTAGTCACAAGGATCAAAAGGCATATTTTATCTTCTTTTTTTTATGCGTTTTTCGTTTTCAGGCTTGGCAGTCATTATAATTATATTCATTTCCACAAGTCAAGAAATTTGTGAAAAAAGACTGAGTGCAAGCAAGCCAAGGACACAGCTTAAAGTTGCCAAAGACTGATAATGTTAGGAATGAAACACTAAACCCAGGCATAAGTACATAACACACTGCTTCAAATACTGAAGTAGTGAATATAATGTCCCATTCTTTAAAATGAGCTCATAAGGGTAACATTTATGTTGATTTGTTTGGTGAGGAGGATGAAGTCAGGAGAACTGTTTGATGAAAGTGTTGAAACTTAACACACCCACATCAGACCCAGAGATTTACAAATGCTCTGGGGAAGCCCAGTCTGCCTGTAATTCATCATGGTGGCCCATTATAACAAAAATTATTATTGCAACATAAATTCTGGCAGCATTTGGGTAGTTTCTGGTCCTTCTTTTCACTACTGCTGTGTGTACGACTCGGTTTGTCAGAGGAAGGTTGTTGAGTTTAACCTAATCTAATCTAACATAAAATACCGAAAAAAAGAACATGATAGTAAATCATTGTCTGGGGACTGCAGTTTGTGTTGAGTATAGTATTCTCTGTGGCTGGAGGTGAAATTTGAACAGAATAGTCCAAACAAATCAATACACAGAATTAAGAAGGTTAAATTAAAAAGAAGCGGTCACACAAAGTGCAGAAAAGCAGATAGAGGTTCATGTTATAACTCCCAATGTGGTCACAATAAAGCAATGCTATTTAAAAGTCTTTGCATTTAAGAGACCACTTTTAAGGCAACTTTTGCTTGCTTTTGTTTGTATTTTTGTTGATTCTGTAAAAGTTGATTGAAAAGTTGATTTCCCTGTTATTAATTTAAGTATATCATAAAGTAATTTTGAAAATAACAAGTCTAAATAATTTAGAATAAAAGTGTCAACTATGAGAAAAAATGTGATAATGAAGCAGTAGATGCATAAAGAGGTTTTGCATTAATGTCAAAATAAAACTTTTTTAAGAATGACAATAAAATGTCCCTTTGTTCCTCTTTAGGTGGATGTGTACGATGAAGGGTCATATACCTGTTCCATACAAACCAAGCAGCAGCCTAAGACCTCACAGGTTTACCTCATTGTGCAAGGTAAGCTGCAAACACCTGTTCCTGAGGTGCATATAACATGATTTCCCAGAGTAACTGAAAAGATGTACCTGGAAATGCTTTTAAAACTTGCTTTTTTTTTATTTACATTGTTCTCTGATATATCTCGAGAGTGTCAAAAGTCCCAAGTTTAGCCGGTGTTCTTATCATTATATATCATTATATTATATATCAAAATCTCTGAATGCGCTCAGTGAAAATACTCAGGCAGTTTGATACAATTGTTTGCCCACAGCAGTACACTTCTTTTCATTTGCCATTTCAAATGATTTCTATGTGCACTTGACAAGCCTTTTTAACATTTCCTTTATATAACATAGAGCATGAAGGTATTTGTCTGGAACTGAGAAAGCAGGAAAACTGACAGAAGGATATGATCAGAGGTTCTTCGGGATTTTTTTCCTGTTCCCTTTTTATATGCAGGCCAGAGCTACTGGTTGCACATTCCGCTTATGAAACAAGACACGATTTCGAGTTTGTTACAGACAAGAGATGATTGTAGTAATGAATTTAAGCATCCACTTAAATTCAGAAGACACTAGTGATGTGTATTCTGTGTCGAAGCTTCAAAGTGTGCCGAGTAATTCAGAAGAATTTTTATGAAGCATGTACTGTATGTTGATGGTGTAGTCAATGACTTTTGAAACCTCAAAATTGGGATGTTATACATGACTGATTCATCAGTGTTTGTAAATCGAAAAAAATACAAGCAAAACTCTATTTCCGTCATCATATTTTCTTGGTTTAGGATTTCATCGCAAGTGTGTTCGCAATTTATTTGAGCACCTTTTTTTGTGATGGAGCCAATTTTACTTTGTCTAGCAACATTTTGATCTCTCTTAATAATTAGGTTTGCAAATGGTAATAATAAGTCATCACTTATAATGTCAAAAAATCAACACAGTGATTCCTGTGTTCTAATTTCCTTCTAATTTCTGTTGTTTTAAACGGTGAAGTGTCGTATCCAAATGACCTTCACTGATAACAAAACCTCATCAGTGCATTATAGCGCTCTCCACAAAAGCAAGGTTACTAAGGAGGTGAGCAAGGCTCAGCCAAGTCATTTCAGGATGCAAAGAGAGACACCATTTGCAAACAATGGGGGGATTGGACAATAATCCCCTGGAATATTGGGAAGGTGAGAAATGTTTCATTCCAATTTCTATAAAGCTCCTGATGTGTTTTTTTGATGTACCTGTGCTTCATCTGCACTCTGTGAAAGGATATTTTCAATAGCAGACAGAATCATCTCAAAACAGAGAAACTGCCCAAACTCAAGCACAGTAATTTATTTTATTTTTTAAAGTAATGAATATATAATAGTAATTAATAATAATGTAATGTCGATAGTGATATAAGAATATAAAAAATACCATTCACATTACAATCATGTCCCCCTTTTGTTTACAGTTTTCTTTTGATCCAGATTAAAACTGAAATCAAGAATGTATGTATTAGTATCACAGGCATGACTTGTTTAGTCAATTTAAGACTTCATACATCACTTTGTTTTTACATTGCCTATTTTACAAGTATAGTCCACATGGTGTCAATCTTAAAGCACTAACCTGCACACACACCTAAAGCCTAAAATAAGATTTGCTCAGACTTATTTCAATAGATAAAGTTGTGCCAAATGCCTTTTTGGTGACAAACATTGTTAGCTTGAAATATTAAAATGTTGCAAATTCTCAAACCTTAAAATCTTATTTCCGTTCTGACATTGTTAACCATAATTACTTTTTGGAATCAATCAGCTTTCTGAAAGAAAAAAAAAAGGCAAACAAGCTTAATGGCTAGAACACATCCACATTCTGCATTTTCCTGAAAAATTCTACTCTAGCTTCTTGTTCTCTGATAATGTAGTACCAGATTTTTAATAGAAATATAAATTCATAGATAGTCCATACAATGAAAAGCAACTTCACAATATTTTTCATTATTTTTTGTTTTAGATGAAAAAAACTTTGGTCCATGTTAACGTGCATTCTTTTAATGTGTTTGTTATTAAGCTTCCCTGAACAATAACAAGATTAATATTTTAACCCAAAATATCAAATACTGAACTAAATTAACACATGTGGGGGAGTGTATCTCGGTTTCACCTCTGAATTATGAAAACACTTGACAAATCAAATGTATTCTCATCATTAGTGACATTGGGGGATTGGACAAAAAGGTTTGTTCTTTTAATTCAGGTGTGTGACATGTATGAGTTGGCCAGTGAAACGTAAGCCCAGTTAAATACAATAGGCTGATGCACCACTGCAAAATGTCACCTCAGACAAAACTCCATGAAGAGACTCTCTCCTTTCATTATGAGCTTATCAATTCATCCATTAATAAAATTTCCAAAGGTCAGTGCTTGTATTGATGCTGCTCCTCTGGGATTCATGGCTGCAAAACTGCCTGTCCTTCCCAGAATCCATTGCATGCGATTAGTCAGTGCTTGATCATCTGAATGTCCTGTGTTGACTTCCAAAGTTTCTGAAGGAAGGATCGTTTATCACAACTAATGCAATAGTTAAAGCCAAAAATTGATTTCTCTCTTTTTTTTTTTCATTCCCAGCCATTGTGTCCTTTGTTTCACCTTTCAAATAAGATTATTAATCCTGCAGTCATTGGTGCTCAGCTCCTTGCTATGTGGGTGTACTCTTTTCTTTTAGTTTCTATTAGCTCAGTATGGTTTTGCTGATTAAAGACAATTGGGTTCAGAAATTGAGAACAAATGTAGGCAAACAACTGACTCCAGGGTGCAGATGGAAGAGCTCATAATATGTCAAAATAACTAATGAATGCTTTCTGAACAAAATAATACAAATGTAAATTCAGCTTCTTCAGCGCACTAATTTTGCCTACCTATTCACTCGCTTTACCTCAAATCTTTCTTTCAGAAGATAAGAATGTCCCTTTGTGTGTGTAAGTGCAGCGACACTTACACACTTGCATGCAGTGGCCTGAACCAACCCCCACAAAAACCCAATCAACTCTGTAGGATAATAATTCACCCTGCCTTCATCTTTTAATGGGTATGAAAGTCCGAGGCATCAAACATTGCCCCTGGTTACAGACTCCCAGATCAGGTTCACATAACCAAAGCTGACAATTTTCTGCTCGCAGGGACAAGGAAGTAATTGGAAAACAAATGGTCAGACAAAGTAAATTTGTGGAGGATGAAAAAGTGGCAGACTTGTGGGACTTACACAAGAGAAACCAAGCAGCTGAGTGATCGCACTAGAAATCCCAATATAAGGTAGCCTCTCTACTCTAATCTGCTTAGATTTGTGAGGGGGAAGAAAAAGTTTTTCTTATGTGCTAGAGACAATAATTAACATTTTTGATTTAAAAGTAAAGGATTTGTACTTTGAGGCTGTGAAAATATGTGTCAAGAAACTGGAAATAATAGATAACATTCAAAATTGATTAGCAAACGAATTATTAGTTCTGGCCATAACTTTTTTTTTTAAAATAACATTTTCCACTAACAATGTCTCAAGTCTTTCTCCTTGGTCCTCACACTTTGACAAATTGTCAGTAAGTGAAGAAAATAATAAAACAAGTGAGGTGAGCTGCACACTCTCTGCCTCTTACATGGTTGTTGTTTAATAATCACTCAGTAACCAAGAAGTACCCCCATCAGTGTTGGAATAACTTCCAGAGTGACTGCCTTTGATTAACTCCTGAACTACTTCTTGCACTTGTTTGTACAGGCAGGCACATAAAGCTTTGCTTAAAGCCATTATTTTCTACAACCCTGTAAGGTTGCAAGGTCCTTGATTGTTAGCTTGGTAAAGTTTGTGTCTGCAGGTTATAGCTCATGTGTTGTTCAGGAAATCAGGACATGCTGTTGGGGAAAAGAAAAACAGGTTCAAAGTATCTGAACTTAGGTTTTGTCAACTTTAGACGAAGAGAAAGAATTTAGTAAGACTGTAGTGGTAGCCTGAGCTGTCTTTTAGACAGGAATAGGGTGGTTTACCTTTTGGTACTGATGCATTCATGTGGGTGCAACTACAAATTGTAAATATGTTACATTATTCAATTTGTATGCTTTGAATTATGTTGTGGCTACAGATTATGAGCCATCATGTTGCTCAAACTTCCACAGTTTCAGTCAAGCCCTCACAACTCTATATACAGTATGTCTGTCAGACTGTCAGATATATGCAGAATCAGCATATTTTGCACAATTTTATTTCCCATCCTGGATGTCAAAATACACTGCAAATCAGCCAATCACATGGCAGGGGCTCAGTGTATTTAGCTTTCTAGATGTGGTTAGGGCGACTTACTGAGGTTTCACATACAAGAACCTCTTGGGTTTACAATGACTTGATAAACAAGAGAAAATATATGGTGAGAAGCAACTAAGTGAAGGAAAATAAAATTTTCATAGAAAAGTGTGAAGTGGATGATCAATAATAACAAGCGATCACATCAGGTCTTACTCTTATTAGTTAAACTCAGGTAGCTGAGGCTACATAGGCAAAGTTTCACGATACCAGATATGAAAAATGTTGCCTTGATCAATGTGTTTTAAATTCAAATGGAAGTATCATATGTAAACATGAATGTATTGATCTAGCCTACGTTCCATCGATACGCCAGGCATCTGATTACAGTGTAATCGTGTGAGAGATTTTTTTTTTTTTTTTGCACACTTGGTACCAACTAAGCATTGTTTGAAATCTATGGTCTATTTGAGTTTTGTTGTTGTCCAAACATTCAAAGAGTAATTCAAAGTGCTTTACAAAAAGAACAAAGCAAAATAAGCAAAAAAGCATCTGATACATCAAAAAGATAAGCAAAGCATCACATAAAAACTCAAACACAAAGGCTTTAATGTTCACAAAGTAAGAAAATATGTGACTCTTTTTCATGATAATTTCAATGCCCCACACAATCCAAGTTGTACCACTTCTTTATGTGACACTAAATTGGATATATATCAAGCTTTGTTTTCAACGTGGCTGCTGTCATTTTGC